ACAAGCTTAACTCCACGCCGAACGCGGGGCGTACGCTCAGCTACGATGGGCGTACTCGATGAATCCAGATCGTGATTTCGAAACAGTACGTTGGGCATACAGACAGTTACGCGGGGCGTAACCTGGATTAAGCCAAACTTGACTTTATGGCTTAACCACTTAAGCACTTTGCACCGAAACTTCAGAGGACCTTAAAATAAAGCTCTTAATGCATGAAGTCGGCACCTTTATGCATTTGCACGACTCAATGGGACCCAACAACCATCTTAATCCATTAAGACCCATTCTAATCGAACTAGAACATGCATGGACCATTCTTAAACATCAAACATGCATTTTATGAACTAGAAACATCAGAAGAGGCAAGATTTATCACTACAAGCTTCTAGAGTGGCTCAAAATCATAAGGAGAACTTAATACACCATAAAAACCCTTAATCTTTCCCTAAAATCAAACTAGCATAAGAAGAAGTCAAGATAAGAACTTTATACCTTGAATAAGCTGGAAATGAAGTCAAAACTCTAGATCTAAAAGTCTTCCTTTGAACCACAAACTAGCACCAAGCACCCTTCTCTTGAAAATGAGCAAAAACACACCAAAATGCACACTTAGACCTCTCAAACACTCAAAATGAGGTTAGGGTATCCGAAATAAGGCTAGAAGGCAAAGGAGGCGGAGAAATGAAAGATCATTCAGCTCATAAATATGTTTAAATAGTGCCCAAACCCTAATTACGCTGGGCGAACCCCCAGCTTATGCTGGGCGTACACACCTAGGCATGTGCCCTCCTCCATGCATGGATGGGACCAACTTTCCAACTTTTTCCACCAAGGGCTAATTCTATCAATATCTTCAAGTTACCATAACTTCCTCATTTAGGTCCATTTCCAACGAACCTTATATCCACAGAAAGGTGGCGAGAAGCCATACGCTTCTAACAACATATCCAAGCCTTAAAACTTCCCGAACAAAACCTAAAATCCATAAAAGACCGAGTTATCAAATTAGGATTATACCCTTGGCCTCTAAAGACACAATCGAGCACTTGGATCACTTAAAACATAATACCCACATCCGAAAAGAGCCAAATTCCTTCTTCCCAAGGCCTTAAGCCTCATGACAACTAATGATTGGGCCGCAGCCCCGAACAAAGAAGCAAATCCTAAACTGAGTGTTACATATAGATATTTTTGTTGTATGATATATCTATATTGTTTGGTAACAATTGGTTATGCATGATATTATTTATAAGTTATTATCATAATAATATTCTAGGATTGAAAACCCTATGTGTCCCACCAGGTTCCCAAACCTGACCCACTCAAATTTATATGCATCATAGGTAGCTGTACTAAGACTGATAGAACTTGATTAAGTTATCGAGTGAATAAGAGACAACCTGCAATAGGGTTCAGGACCGATACGTCTTTATGTTGTAACTCATGTTGTGTTTTAATAATGACATCCTTAGGGTTTTGTTATTTTGAAACAATATATGTACTCAAAATGTTTTAATAAATTGAGATTTTTCGCAAAAAAAAAAAAAGATAACGTGGTTTTGAAGGTATAAAGGTTTTTTTTTGGTTCTTGTAAATAGGGAATGTTACATGAGCAACCAAGAACAAAATGTAGATTTCATCACAAAATATTTGGCTAGAGTTAAGTTTAAAGAAATGTGAGAACAATTAGGATCTAAAACATAACCAATTTTGGATTAAAGAGGAAAATGTTGTAACAACCTAAAAGTTTCAAACCATTTTGAATTATTCGTTTTTTTAGTATTAGTCTTTAGAGAATCCATAGTGGAGCGTTTAATGTGATAGTTTAATGAGGTGGCAAACCTAGTTGTCATTCAATACATGAAACTCTATAATTGTGAGATGTCACATTGAAATTCAATGAATTTGGAGTTCAATGGTGATTAAACTTTTCGATGATTTTTTTCTAATACTTAAATAATTATTTAAATATGTTCTATTGAAAATTTTAGAGTGCAATGCATTATACAAAAAATTAATAGAGTTATATGGAATATATAATGATGATGCGACAATCCAACTCAATTCAGTAGTAGAGATAACATAGAAGTTAGTTTGGTTTTTCATGTTGTCTATAAGTAAGAGTTTTTTGTTTGTTTGTTTGTTTTTTTGGTAAATTGGTAGACCTGGAAATGGAACCGGTTTTGACCCTGATCAGCTCCACCCATGCAAAGTTATAGGGTTTGGATCGTATTTTACGATTCATTTACACATTAATGACCAGTTCCCGTTAACCATTTTATTAAAAAAGTCGGGTATGGCTCACTATCGATACGATCTGTTTATGACCCGTCCCGTCTAAAATTTTAAATATAAATTTATTATTTATAAGTTATACATTTATCACTGATACAGTGTTATGTACAACACTCGAGGAGTACAATCGTTCCACTTCCACTTCCTAATTTTTAATGGTTGAATTCCATTCGACTCTCAATACAAATAAATATGGGGAATTAGTATTACAGTCATAGTCGATAACCAAAAACAAGAACAAAAGGCTTAGATCTATCTCGTTTCGTAGAAGGATTTTCTACCATCAACATTCCACAAACAGGTTTATTTTCTAAAATTCTGCAATATGTGTTGTAATGCATAATTATAGTCTAATATTAATATTATAAATGGTTCGGGTAAAAGGGTTGAAAATCCATTGATTCGGTGGACAAGGATACGCGTTTAATTATTTAAGGCCCCGTGGGTTACGGATCCGATCAACATTTGAAAATTGCTTAATGGATTTAGATCAAGACCGATCCACGTTCCATTGCCAGGTTTATAAATAGGCTTGATAGGACAAGCCTAGGTAGATTATAAAAATGGGAAAAATAGTACAACCAATAATGAACGAAGAAAAAACACTAGAGAAAAACTAATGCTAAGGGACAATCCCCAAAACAACAATCTAGACAACTAGGAAGAGAAAAGATATAAGAAATTCCTACAAAGAAAAGCCTAACTAAAAAATTGCAAAATTGCAATAGCATCAACCCTGGCCAAGGGCCAATTTGTCTTTTCTTTGGATGATTATGAATGAGTTGAGTTTATTAAAGAACCCAGCAGAAAATTTTTCCCCAAAATATCCTCCATTTTCCTATCATCCTCAGCTTTCCTCTGTTTCTCTTTGTTTGTTGTTCCTGTAGGTAGAAACACAAGGTTCCTGGCATACACTTTTGGACTAATAGACGATATAAATTCATTCATTTACATACATGTTTGAAGTGTTTATTAGAAACTAAAGATGCAAAAGATATACCAATTAACATACACTACTAGAAACATGAGTTTTAGAGACGGAAGAATCCGTCGCAAATCCCTCGCTAAAGATCATTTGCTACGGATCATCCAGAAACTTACACCATAGCCAATTAAAGGGTGGCTAATGACTTAGCGAGGGATTTAGCGACGGGTTAGTTTTTTTTTGCGGCGACGTTAGCGACAGAATATCCATTGCAAAATGGGACTTAATACTGTTATTTAGGACATTATCGACAAAACCTAATAACAATATTCCGTCGCTAATCCCTTGCAAACCTCTATATTTGTTTTTTAATCCGTCACTAATCCCTCTCAAACTTTAGATATGATTTTTTTCTTTCTGTCGCTGATCTCTAGCAAATTTAAGATGTGATTTTTTTTCTTTCCGTAGCTAATCCCTTGCAAATACATAGTATCATATATTTGTTTGTTTTGAATCTATAACAAAATAATAACAAAAAATTAAATAATTATATAATCCCAAAACAAATATTAACATTTAAATACTAAAAACATCCAATAATTATGCAATCCAAAACAAAACGTTAACAATAAAATACCAAAAGAATCTAACCATCAATGTTTACCAAAACATCCATAAACATCAAATATCTAAGTTTAACATTAATTGATATTTAATTTCAAAAGTATAATGTATCATAATTCTAAATTTCCTCTCATATTTTGCATTTCCGGATACACCTTCTTCATTGCTTGATATCTTGCATCCAAAAGAAGGATCAGAATGGAATTGGATTCCAATTCCCGTTCAATCCCATGGAATTAGGAGAACCAATTTCCACTTAGTTTTTCCTGCAATGGAAGGAGACTTGGTTGCTTGATGTCTTCCTGCTTTTTGCTAGATTCAGGGTCTTTGTTGGATGCAATGTTTTTCTGTTGATGAAAAGGATATTAGTGTCTACTCATTTGAAACCAAATGTGAGACTGGAATGGAATTAAATTCCGATTCCAACCAAAAAGCAAATGATAATACATGTTGGTGAAAGAAAATAATGTGTTTGCAAATTGGTCGTCAGAAATTGTAATCTCTTGGTCTTGCCATGGGCCCTTCTCTAATTCAACTAAAATTTTGAGTTACAAATACACCCAACATTTGGTTAGACGGAATGGAATTGACAAATGAATCGAATGAACAAGCTAACAGAATGAATAATTACATCAACCCCTTCATACAAAACACTGCTTAAGAGAAAGAAATTAAGTAAATCCAAATACAATTTAACTAAATTATGTATCAAAATGGTCGATTGAATCTTTAAAGAACTCACTTGTCCCAGTTGGTAGCAGACATAAGACTTTGAGACTTCTTCCTTCCATTATTCCCCTAATCCCTCCCTGTATGATCTATATATTGAAACTTGGACAATGTCTAAACACATAAAAAAGATAAAATAATCATTAAAAAAAGATTTTCCCATAATTTAAAGATAAAGTTACAACATTGAAGAGCAGTCAAACCTTGGTCAACACATAGGGAATTCACTATATATAAATGTGAGGTAAATGGTTTAAAAAAATATAAATGATAAAGGGGAAAGAAAGGAAGAAAGTTACCTTATGTTCTATTAAAGGAACTTTAAGAACTTTCTTGCTGACTCCTCTTTTACTGCATGGAATCAATTATAAGATCCAGGACATAAAAAATTAACTACAATCTATTGGACTAGAAATTAAACAACTGATCAAAGGTCTTTTCCATTGTTCCCCAGAGGATGCACACGCTCATCAGCTGAAACAGGTTTATGATAAATTAAGAGACCACTTATCAAAACTATTCCTGGAACTTAAAAAAGAAATAATGGTTGACCCCAGAAATAATGGTTGACCTCGGATCTGAACAGTAGGAGGTCTAGCATTGTTCATTGACAGTTGACTTGCCATCCTGGATATAATTCACCAAATTTTATCAGTGCAAATTGCAAGAAATAGCAACGTATTTTACTCTTATTATGATTGTTATTTTTTTTTTAATTTTTATGATTATAAAGAAATGAAATAAAAAACCTGTTTTTAATTTCAGCAGTCATAGCCATAAAAGCTTCTTCCACATTGGTGAAACTTTTGGCACTTGTTTCAAGGAATGGAATCCCAATCTCATCAGCAAATGCCTACACAATTAACTCTTTGTAGTATTTTTCATTCACTTAAACTATTTAAAAATAATTAACATTATTTATTACCTTTCCAGTTTCATAAGACACGGCTTTCTGAGAAGTGAGATCAAATTTGTTTCCAGCAAGAAGCTTGTTGACATTCTCACTAGCATAACGATCAATTTTACTCAAGATTAGGTTGTTTTATATTGTTGAAACTCTCTTGCTTTGTCACATCATAAACAACCCGCAAGAAAAATAAGTGTTTTAAATTTATCACCTAATGACATGTCATTATGTGATTATCATCTACAAGTATGAAAACAATAAATTCTACTTAAAGCAAACATGGTAAGATGAGTTTTCCATGGCCATTTCCATTTTCCAATGATGAGGGTATTTACATCTTTTTGACAATCTTGTAGGATGTTGCTGCCTTTTCGAATCAACAACCATTAGCTGCAAAGGACTATACACTAAGTATAATTATTCCAGCATGCAAAGTTGTGATTGACATATCAAATGCTGCAAAATATTTGATTAATCAAGAAGTGTCTCCTAAGACTAAGACTTAGGAACACATGTTTTTGAGTGGAATAATACTTTTTTTTTTTAGAAAAAGCTTTTGTGTTTCCATGATGATGAAGAACTTAGCAACCTAAAATTGGCTTAAAATTGGCGAACCTCAAAAGAATAGAATCTTCAACTCCAATTCCAATGAATAATACGAGAATACATAAACAATTTACCTTCTATGCGCTTTGATATTCTTATATACGTTGTATATAAGGAAGGAAACTCCGGCCAACACAACAGCTACTAGAGACCCTGGACCAGAAAGCCCTGAAATTTAGAACCACAAGTTAAAATTACCACCATGCCCCTCTAACCATAGGCCAAAATTAAAACGTTATACCCTATGTACCCCTTGAAAAATCACAAACATTCCCTTTTTGACAACTTTCAAAGTTCAATTGTACTGATTTACCCGTCACATGGGTCAAGTTTTGTTTTTGATGAAGATATTTACATCATTTTGCAGTTTTCATGGGACAGAGAAAAATGTGTTTAAAAACTTCATGCCCAACTCTTTCAAATCCAAGGAATCATTTTTTGGTCAACTACAAAAGATACAAGTTTGACGGAAATTAGATAAAAACAAAAAAGTAACCAGAAATTAGACATCATACAACAAGTTATTTTGAATCATTATGAAAGTTATTTTGATCAATATAATGATTATT